ACGATAAGTAGCCCTTGAGGGCCCAATAGAACACCTAAATGGACTAGAACAACACTAGAAGGCCCAAGAACCTCAAAACCCTAATTTCAAGCTTTAAATGGTCATTCCCAAACCTAGAACAGTCGTTCCAATTGAAAAAAATGGCCTATAACCCTAGTTGGGAACAGGTCATTCCAAAGGCCCATTTCATGTGTAAATTCATGGGCCAGAATTGTTGTTCCAAGCTTAGGAACGGGCATTCCACGCCCTTAGAAGCCTATTTAAGCATTTATGAGGCACGTGCTTCCAGAAACACTACTCAGTTGACCTAATCCAAGCAGAAACTCTCTCTTCTCTCTCTCTCTTGTCTTTCTTGAGTGATTGTGAGGTTCTTGTAGAGCGAAAGGTTGCCAAAACACGTCTTTGTTACAAGATTTGAGATTCTTCTCTTTATAAAGCTTGCTCCGAAGGTATTTTCATCAAAGTCTCTCTTTCTCTTTCTTTCTTTATATTTATATAATTACTTTGTTCCTAATTTTATTTCCATCATATAGACATTAAACATGTAAGTAATTAATAAAAAGGGTAAACATTTAAATTATTGTTCCTAGTTATGCTAAAATCATCATAGGGTACCAAGATAGGGCATTGTAGGGGTGCCTAATACATTCCTTACGTATAATCGACCCCGAACCTAATTCTGGCTATGAAGGTCATAATTAATTTTGAAAAAAAAAACTTTTTTCTTTTTTCTGATGTTTTAAGTAAAATATCGGTGGTGACTCCTAAAAACCTTTTTCAAAAATCCATTAGTAAATGATTAGTTTTATCTTCGGACATTCCTAAACCAATAAGATTTTCAAATGGAAGTCAAAACCATCTATGGATAAGATCAGAAATTTTTGGGTTTCAACAAGGAAATTTCTAATCATTATGTCAGGAAAGAAAGATAAAATCTTGGATTACATGGAAAAGACACTACAAAGACTATTCTACGCTGACACTACACTGCCACACTCAAAATAGAAGGATATGATGATATGTAGCTACCTAGATCAGATAAGAGATACACACATCTTCGATAAGTCTTTGATTTTCACATTTAATGCGTCAACAATAATCTCTAGGATTAGCAAAGAAGAAAGACAAAGCAACTTGTGAATAAATCTGAACGTTTAAATCCAACGTTACTACAACGGTCATCTTCTCTAAAGCTACTATATAAGGATCAAGTCTTCATACTAGAAAAAAAAAAGGACAAGGGAAAAAAGAGAATAAAGCTTATCATTGAGAAACATACTGAGAATAAAGCTGAAGCACTACAAAGAAGATTTTCATTGTAAATTTCATATATAGTTCTTTGTAATCTATTGGTGTTGTATCTTCATAGCATCACATCTAGAAAATATGAAGCTATCTTTGTAACTCTTGTCAAATTTATTTGTAATGGTTAAGCCTAGAGAGGCTTGTGTGAAAAGAATACTTAGTGTTGAGCCTGAAGATGCTTGTTGAAAGAATACTTGGGTTTGATCTTGGAGAGGCTTGTTGAAAGAATACTTGGTGTTGAGCCAAAAGTGGCTTGTGAAAGAATACTTGTATCTTGTACAAGATAGTGGAACTCAATTTGGTTGGATTGAAAACTAGATGTAGTCTCTGTGTTTGAGATGAACTAGTATAAAACACTTGTGTCACTTTGTCTGTTTATTTCTAGTGTTTTGTTTGTCACAATTTTTACTACTTCACTACAAAAAGGGCCATTTTTAGATATACACTATTCTAGGCGTGGAAATCTAACCCAGCCCCGTGGGTACCCGCCCGACATCGCCCCGATTTAGCAAAACACACATCACATCTTTAGAAGATTTAAAGAGTTGATGTGTGCAGAAATGAGCGATATGACAGTAGTTATAATCAGATATTGAAGTTAGGTAGACATAAGGTGATTTGTGATATATAAGATCTGTTTTGGTGAGTTCA